AATGAAATTAAATAATTGTATTATTAGGGCTCAGTTAGGGAAAGATTAGTAAAGTACTATCCAATAGTGAAAATAGACGGTACAAATTACAATAGCGGCAAACTTAAGTATCAAATAAATTTGATGGGTTATAGTTCGAGGTATAAACAAATTGAGCCAAGTTCGAGTCACTCCTGGCTTGATCTTGAGGCTGAGCCTAGTTAATTAATTGAGCTCGAGCTTTATTATATGAGTTTTAGTCTACTCTGTGGGCTGCTCATGAATTATGAAACATAGGAAATTATTCTAATTCAACCAATTGTTATAACAAAAATTAAGAAATTAAAAGAAAATGATAATATATCTTTTGATAAGGAAGTGGTACATAATTTTTAGTTATTTTTAATAATTTTGTATATAAACACTTGAATGCTAATGTATTTTAAGTGTACTTTACTTAAATATTTTTAAAATGAGCTGGTTCGTAAGCTAATGAGTCAAGTCATGCCTGACTTAAGCTTGACTAATTAGCTTATCGAGTTCGGCTCACCAATCATTTATTGAGAAAAGCTTGAACATACTCATGAATCAACTTTTCTCACTTGCATCCCTATTAATAATTATTTATAATATATCCAAAAATGATAAGAGAAATGGTGAACTATCATCGAAAAAATAAACAAATTTAAGTTGAATTAAATTTTATTGTTACTTGGAAATAATTTTATTAATAACTAGCCATCTTTTTCTATTTTCTAGCAAAAAAAAAAAACAATAGTGCTTCTAAAAAAGATATTTGAAAAAAAAAAACATAATGAATTTTTTAATAAATTGCTCTATTATTGCAGTAAAATTTTACAGAGATGCCCAAAGCAATTAATTTTAAAATATTAGATATATGATATATGTCTAATTTTTTTATAGATCTTCTATTGTACTAATTAAAAATATATTTTTTTTGATAAAATCAAACTTTTACAGTTGGATATCCTCAAACAATTGCTTAACGAATCATTAATCCTCTTGAAAAAAAGTAATTAGAAGCTTGAAAACTTCTAATTGAGACGTTGAGCATAGAGCATTAAAGCCTCATTATTCTTCATAGAAAGCTTAATTTCTTGGTGGAAGAACATAGATATTTGAAATTTGTATGATTAACAAAACATTATTCTCTTCAAAAGCTTTATGATTATTATGATTTTGAAATTATTTCTTTAAATCATCATTTGATACGGTCTTTTTAGTGCTTCTTAAAGCAACTTTTCAGTACAAAAAAATTAATTTTTGTATAGAAAATTATTTCAAGAAGCAGTGGTGACAATAAGAAATTATTGCCCTGATATTTTTTAAATATATAAAAATTTTAGAAACTATATAACTCAATTATAATTACTTCTTGCACCGAAATATAGTTTTTGTAGGGGTGATGCATTATTTATTAAGATCTTATTAAAATAATGTCAATGTTTTAAAAAGAATAATAATTAATGTTTTATGATTTTTTATATCTATACTTTGGCTTTTCTCTATATTTCTTATAAATATCATGAAATTAACATAATTGTGTTCTAAATTATTTTGATTGTTTTTATATTTTTGTTAGTGTTTTATACCAAATCAGAAATTTATGGGCATAAAATATCAATAAAATTGATGTGAATGTCTTCAAAATTTAATATGTTATCTTTAGGCTTTTTGGTTGGCTGCATTTGTGGTGTAATGCAATTTACGAATTCAAATATTTAGTTGGGTGAATTTCAAATGTAATATAATTCATTAGTGAATTTTGAATTCATCATTTAGTTCCATTTTGATGTATTTGAAAATACCAAGATTTGAATGATTTCTAAACACGCTATAATAATTTCTAAGTATTGCCACCACATGCTGGGGCGAGCCACCAACTCTGTTGCTTGCTATTGTCTGCCACTGTCACCTCCCGCTAGTCGCTCGGCTTGGATCTCGTCCATGATATATTTTTCAATTGTCTAGATATCTTCTCAAGCACAAGTTGATAATGGGATTATGGGCTTGTAGCCTCCAAAACTTCATGGTTTGGCTTTGCTAAGAGATTATTTTGGTTTTCTGGGTATAATTTTCATATGGCATCTTAGGTTCACTATCCAAAGATTTTGCTCTCATTTTATAAGGATTTTATGGTTTGATTTCAAGTTTCCTATAACCACAAGACTCTAGGAATGTAAACGAGCTAAACCGAGCTCGATTCATCTCTATCTTGAGGTTGAGCTTAATTAATTAATTGAGCTCGAGTTTTATTATACGAATTTGAGTCGGCTCACAAGGCTGCTCATGCATTACGAAATAGATAAAATTATTCTAATTCAATCAATTGTGATAAAAAAAATTAAGAAATTAGAAGAAAATAATAATATATCATTTGATAAGGAAGTGGTACATAATTTTTAGTTATTTTTTTAATAATTTTGTATTTAAACAGTTGAGTGCTAATGTATTTTAAGTGAATTTTATTTAAAATATTTTTAAAATGAGCTGATTCGTAAGCTAATGAGTCAAGTTAGGCTTGATCTAAGCTTGACTAATTAACTTATCGAGCTAGACTTACAATTCATCTAAATCTTCTATTGTACTAATTAAAAGTAATTTCTTTGATAAAATCAAAATTTTAGAGTTGGATAAGGTCAAACAAGTGCTTAATGATTCAAATGATCTCCTGACTCTTTACAAAGAAACACAACGATATCTAAGTATTTAAAGTCTTATTTTAATCAATTGATTTTTCAAATAGTGGCTTAAATGATGATCATACAGAAGAACTAATCTAATATTTTTTGAAGAGTTAAGGGACCAAATTGATGCTTCTATATAATTGGGAATTATTTTGATCATTCATTAAAAATTAGGGACCCATTCGGACCTTTTATCATTTCAAAAAATTAGAGGGAATAAAAATACTCAAAACTTAGCATATTACTAACCCAATTCGAGAATAAGCTTCCAATGCTTAAATCAACTACTTATCTTAAAAGTGATTCGATTGAGTAAGAATAAAGAGCACCAAGCATCCATTAACGTTTAAGGAAAGAAACCCAAAATGATTCTAATGGCTGAATAATTGAAATAAATCAGAACTTGCTTAAGAATGATGGGTCACAAGGTAAATATAAAATAGAGAAAATGTAACAAAGTCATTAAAGAACTTCAGATAAGCTTGGTTTGACCATATTATAAGATTTTAGTTTTGTTTGGGGCAACTTTGTTACTGTTTTGTAAAAGCGTTGTATATAAATTAATTTTTTAATGTTGTTGTAGTAAGTAGTTTTCTAGTACTTTTTATTTTTTAACAATGAAAAAAAGTGTCCAAATAAAAATTATTGTTGAAGTTTGAAAATCAAGCAGTAGTAAAACAGAAGTCCCAAATTAAGCCGATGTTTCATTTAAATATAAATATAAAACAAAAAAAAACATGAATTTTTAATGCTATGATTAGGGTTGCAAACGAGTAGAGTCAAGCTCAAGTCAACCCTCGCTTGAGCTTTATTCTATGAGTTTGAGCCTGCTTATGAGCTGGCTCGTTTACTATGAAAGAGAGAAAATGATTATGTTTTAAGCAATTATTATAATAAAATGGTAAAAAGAATGAGAATTGTAATAAAATAATAAAGAATTACCTAATATAAGAAATTGTGATATGATTTTTAAATATTTTTAACAATTTTTTTTTTAAATCATATATATATAATTAATATTTTTTAAACAAGTCGGCTCACGAGCTTACGAGTCAAGTTGGGGCTAGCTCAAACTTAACTTGTTAGCTCATTGAGCTCGGCTTCTGAGCCATTTATCAAGCAAAGCCTAAGCCGGCTCACAAGTCGGCTTGACTCATTTCCACCCCTAGCGGTCATTATGAGAATTTGATTAAAATATTTTGTAAAATGTACCCTAATTAGAATTTTGGCACAACCAATTCCCCAATCTATTTGATCAAATTCCGGAAAGGATAATGAAACTATAGAGCATTCATTCACTATTTTTCATTTTTAAAACCATTACTCATATTAATTCAGTAAGATTCAAATTTTTAGATATGGTAATTATTCACATGAAATATATTTATATCAAGATATAATAATTAGAAAGTGATTAAATTAAATAAATCTCAAAGTTTGTAAATTTAATTTAAGATAAATATAATATTATTTATTTATATATTACACTAATTTAGAAATAAATGAAAAGGCTTCTGATAAAAAAATTTAATTTTTAATATTTTGATCTTATTTTTTACTCATTCACATGTAAACTCTAAGGTGCTCATTAATCATTCAAGCAAAATGATTTTGGCGTATTTACATACATACCAGAAGATTCTCATGTATTTATATATCTACCAACTAAATTTTTATATTTATTTAGTATATTATTTTAATGTATAAATCATATAAATAATATAAGCATGAAAAAATGTGATTTATCTTAAATAAATCATTATTTTTAAAACAATTTAAAATTTAAGTGTTATATAAATAAATATAAATATTTTAATTTTAGATATATAAAATTTTATAATATTCTAACAAGAAATAAATAAATTTGAGAAAGCACACTTCTGAACTAGAATAACAGTAACATAACTGCTAAAGCATAAGTGCTGAGTTCCAGCACGGCTTTTATATGACATTACAACAACAACATCAATTCCACTACGTGGGGTCGGTATTCGGCTACATGAATCTTTTTTCTCCATTGTGACTTGTTAAAAGTCAAATTCTCATTTAAATCTATTAAAGAAAGATCATTTCTAATCTTTTCTAATCAAGTCATTTTAGATCTACCTCTATCTTTCTTAATATAAGTAAAATCTAATAACTCTACTTCCCTAATCAGGTCATCGGAAGGCCGCCGTTTTATGTGAGCAAACCATCTAAGGCAACTCTCTTTAATCTTATCTTCCACTGACTCTACTCCAACCTTTTCACGTATATGCTCATTTCGTATCCTATCTCTAAAGATAAAGCCACTCATCCACCTGAACATCCTCATATTTGCAACACTTAACTTAGTATTATATTTCTCTTTTAATGACCAACATTCGACATCATAAAACATTACAGCTCTTATATGACATTATTAATACAACTTTTTTTCCTTTACAAACACCATGGATCACTTCTATAAAAGGTTCAGAAACCCTCAATGAAAAAAAACTTCAGAATCTGTAAGAGAGGTTTGAAATGATGACTGGAAATACCATAGATTTTCAGACTTTGTCATCATGGAACCACCACCTTGTTTCCTTAGGAGATCTGCCATTCTTGCATTTCCTGACATAGCGGTCATTATCTGCAGGGCGTTGCTGAAATTTCCAAAGAGAGATTACATAATGATCAGAAAGCAATAAGGAGAATCAGTAGAAAAATAATGAGGGGCCATTTCATTGCCTGAAGAATGTAAATATGTTCTAAAATGATGAAGTTTTAGGAGATTTCATCATTCAACTGGGTGTAATTTGGGCTCATTTGGTTTCATTGTTGATGGATGCAAAACATGTATGAAAAATAAAAAGTAAGTATTTTTCATTTATATTGCTTACAATTAATGTAGATTCATAATTGTGCATGAGGGTCTTGTTGGAATAATTTTTTTACTGCTTTACTTTGTTAGACAGTAGCTATAATTTCATTTGACTATTGCTTCTTACTACTTTCTCACTATTTTTTAGAAATTTCGGCTTTGTTTGGGACGGCTTTCTTACTTCTTTTTAAAGCAGCTTTCTAGTATAAAAATTAAAATTTTTATACTAAAAACTGTTTTAAGCAGCAGTAAAAAAACCGTCCCAAACAAAACCTTTTATGATGAAAAGTTACTTTTACTACAACAGGCTGTAGCTGTCCCTAAAAGACCCTGAATGATGGATCTAATAAATATATTATTCTTTATAACATTGTTCTCTATCTTGTAGCAACAGAAGAAACACTAATATCAATGTGAATTTTGAACTCCACATATTAGTTAGGGATTGTCTGGAATGGTTGCAGTTGTTTATAAAAGTAATTGACAATTGTTATGGGTTAAATAAATTTTTCGAAAATTATTGCAAAGAGCAATTTTCTAGTACAAAAATTTCTTGAAAGGATAAATCAAATAAAAACTCTGATTGTGATCTAAAAAATAAAACAGTAAGAAAATTATCCCAAATATAACGTAATGATTTCATAAAAAGTTGCTAGATCTCATTATTAATGGTTAAGTGGAGGTATGCATCGTTACCTTTCTGGTGGAGCTTGATAACATGGATACAATGCTGACGCAGATAGAACTCACAGTCATTGCCGGTGACCATGAATCGTATAAGATATCTGACAGATGAGCAGTAAAACATTACAAAACTTGAGAATATTAGAGAAAACTAAGAATAGGCTCAAGGAAGATGACGTGAAAATTCTCATATCAAACAGTCTGAGAATGGAAAGTTTTATACACTGCAATTCATTGAAATGATAGCTGTTTGAAACCAATTTAATATATTTAACTTTTGCCTATTTTGTTGATTGTTGGATGTAAAAAGATAAGACTGTTCAGAGGGCTTTATTCAAAGAATTCCAAGAATTTTACTGCAAACCATTTCTTTTTAATATCTTATTTGATTTCAAACAAAATTAGCACTATTCCGTAGACGGGTAATTTGGTTGCAGATTATTGCCAAGTCTCTGTAGCAAGTACTTTAATTTGCACTAAAGCATGCACAGCCAAGCTGCCGTATGCAAAGTGGCAAAAATATTTGTTATCTGCAATGTTTTCATAAACTACATATATTTTTTTATTGTATATTGAAGATGGAAAAGACAAGTTTTCCCACCAAAAGTTTTAACGCTTGCTTCAGAAACAGAGCAACTTGTTGCCTTGTATGCAAGCAATCGAGACATCTTCCTATTTTAAAACCAAGTAGCGTACATGTTTGTGCATTAGGTAAGTTGGTTGTATTGGAATAAAATTATATTAGGGAGAGAGATGATTTGATATCCTCATAGGTATTTTCTCCTTTGTTCAATTCCTAACTATATACTCCTACATTTTTATTTATAGGTAAATATATTTGTGGGCTTCGAAAATTCGCGCCCCAGACTCTCCAAAAACCCCTTCTTCTTTTTTTCGAGTCGTCAAGGAGAGTTTTACCGTTTAGGTTATGAGGCAACTTTTCAGAAGGCATATTGGGTTTTGAAGTAAGACACTGCCCAGAGATTTTGCTCTCATTTTACGATGATTTTATGATCTGAGTTCAAGTTTGCCTAGTTAATTACTTGTATCGATAGTGAGAGAGAACTTTCGATTAAGGCTAGTCGTCAAATAGATATGTAGTATCTGGCGTATAGTAGCAGCATGTTTAGGTATTTAAAATTTTAATATTTAAAATTGGAAATTCACCACCTCGTACTTAAAGCAGATGGTGGGGGGAATCATGATGAACCCAATCAATATCTCATGGTTATGTCGTCCTGGGTCATCATGGTCCCTAATCTACTGAGTGAGAGGAGACTGTCGTCCCAACCTGACAGAGGATTCTTGTCGACAACCATTGGTTGCTTCATCTAAGGATAACTCGTAGACCTGGGGTGAATATTTGTCTAAGTAGACAAGCTTGAATCCACCTTAGCTAAGATAGAGCTTTGCGCCCTATCGATCATATCATATTGATTCATTACTCAATAATTTGATGTTATTAGGGAGCATACGTGCTCTGACCATAACCGTAATTTAATGGTGTCATTTAGCGGCAAAATCACCCGGTTCCGAGGGTCCCAGTCATGATCATTTATCTTTGGTGTCATTTGGCCGTGAAACTACCGGTTAGATGACACATGCCACATCCTTACTGGCAAGAGACTGTTTGAAAATTAATCTTAATGATATTCTGGACCAGACATTGATTTTTTATGAGCTGAAGTGATTTTTTAACTTGCCCATCTCGACAAATTATTGCGGAGGGTGGATGTGTATTTTACTTAAAGTGTTTAAATTACGCAACGGGCCAAAAGCGACTGCAAGCATGGGACTGAAGCAAGAGGCGCGTTGGGCCTGGGCCACGCATGAGTGCGAGCATGCCGTGCAAGCTGGTTGAGGATTCGAAGGAATTGAAGGCAGGATGATAGAGCACGGACATGGCATAAGGCAAAACCTAGAGAGTGAACCAAGCAAGAGTCGTGCGAAGCAAGAGTCGTGCGAAGCAAGAAGCGTGTGAAAGGAGGATCAGGGAATGCGCAGGAGGAAACCATGCTTAGTTCAAGCAGGTTGTAGGAGGCCTGCTAGTCCAGATATATAGGTGGAGTCTTTGGGTTAGAATGTGGGCAAGACAACAAGAAGGATCACTAGTTTTGGTGTGACAGAGCAGCGGAGAAAAAAGCAGGATCAAGAACCTCAAAGCGGAGCTCGCGGGATAGATCACATGAGAGGCATTCGCATGCAAGAAGCGGGCACCGAACTCGGGATCAGACATGTGGCTCGTGCAAAGTCGCATGTTGGAGCCTACTAGTCCAGAGATATAGGTGGAGTCTTCGGGTAAGAATGTGGGCAAATCAACAAGAAGGATCATTAGTTTTGGTGTGTCGAAGCAGCGGAGACAAAATCAGGGTCAAGAACCTCAAAGCGAAGCATTCGCACCTATATCAGGATATATCACACAGAGGCATTCGCACCTAAGAAATGGGCATTGAACTCGAGGAGATCAAACAGGTGGCTCACGTGAAGTCGCATGTTGGAGCGCGCATGGGTGCTCGGGGAAGGCCGCAAGCTAGAGGGTACTCGGGCTCAAGCGCAGGCGTGCCACGTAGGAACAAGTGCGTAGGCTGAAAGCATAGGAGTAGGCAATGCACAAGACACGGGCGTGCAGATCATAGGAGGAATAGCAACAGGCGTAGACGTACGTGGGTTAGAATGCACGGAGGCGCAAGCAGGAGTCGTGGATCAGAACACACAATAGAGGCGGAGCGCGAGTAGAATTGGGTCGGTTTTGCAGGTTTGCTCGTGGAGTTACTGCAGGAAGACAATGAGATTGCAGCAAGCGCGGGTTCTTATGAACGGGTGATTCTTTGTTTTTTTTATTGTAAACTCTGGATCAAGGTGGAGATGGTTGGGTTTTGATCCAGGTTTAAGTTAGTTGTTCTGCAAATGCACCACACTAATGTCTAATTGCAATATAGGATGTATAGGTTATAGGTTTTTGTGAAACGCGCCCCCCCCCCCCGCCATTTTTGAGACCCCCGCCCCCCCCCCCCCCTAGTATAAGTCGTGTATGAAACACAATTCATCTGTACTTTTTCCACCAAAAATTCTTTCTAGCATTTTCCATTTTTGGTTGTGGAGCGATTGGAGCAGTAGTTTCCGCAAAATAGCCGATGAAGATTTTCAGCAGTTTTCCGGTGGCCAAACTATCGGTATCCACTGTGAATCGAAAATCTCCACTGTGAGCTAATTACTCCTTATGTCATCTCATATGACATACTAAACTCATTGATGCGTAGAGGCACTTAAGTCTTGAAACAATCGGTAAATAAAACAACCGAGAATATGGAACATCTTTCTTTTGACGACGTTGTTTTTCGAGTTGGTTTGAACTGAGGCGCATTACAGATACTACAACAAACTTCTGTCGATTCAGTGCAGTACGGCATACAACCATTTATACAACAATAAATTTTTATAATGGTGAAACCCAACTTTTTATACTAGGTTCTTCATTCGATACAAATCTATGAGGATTAAACTGTATGTTGGATTTATTTTCTTGAGAAGACAAATAAAGTATAGAAGTTCATTGTGTTGACTTCCACAGAGAAAACAAAAGAGAGAAACAAAATAAAATAAAAATGCTCAAATCATCACATACCTTCTCAAATACAGCTGAAATTGCGCCGAAATCTTTTGAATCCTCCATAAATCCTATAAGATATGCAGCTAAGCTAATGTTCCTTCGGCGCCGAAGCAGTCTCTTCCCGCAAATCTTGTAAATCCAACCTCGATCGTTGTCACTTTTGTCTATAAAATAAAGAAGGAATGAGGCTTTACATTCGTCTAGTTTTCTCCTCTCACACGACACAAGAAGCTCTGCCCATCTTCCTCTCCCATTCACGAACCTACCTCTGTCCCGATCGCCCTTCCCAACTCCCGTCGATGTTACCGAACCAAAGACCCCAACCTCTCTTCCTCTCACAAGCTCCAGCCTATTTCCTCCCTTGACCCGGTCTCCAAACCTTCGACCCCCATCCGACCAAAACGATGCCTCCACACAGAGAGAGAGAGAGAGAGAGAGAGAGAGAGAGAAAAGGAGGAGCTTTCTCCTCACCTAGCCGAGCCCCACCTGTGCTGCCAAACCTCTGAACTCCAGTCCAGTAAGCCATCCGACTTCATCTCCTCTACCCGATCCATTTAATAACCTAACTAGCCGATCTATCTAGGTAACTAGGTATAAATTTTATCTTAATGTTATTTATTATTATTAGTATTATATTATATCTTAATTTAGTAGCTATTATTTAGTATATTATATTATATTATGTATATATGTGTGTGTTTGTGAGAGATAAGGAAAAAAAAAAGAAAAGAAAAGAAAGAGTGTCTTTCCCTTACCTCGATCAACATGTCAACAACTCCGCGAATGTATGAATTTTTTAAACTTAAATTCTCGCTCTCGAAGTTTGCGGCGCACCTGAAAATTGCTTGTGCACGCCTTTATTGCACGTGGTGGGATAGGATCCCGGTGCGGCGCCTACAACTAGGCGGGTAATCACCTAAAAGCCCCATTTCGAAGTTTGTGGTGCACCGAAAAACCGCCTATACACACCTTTATTGCGCATGGTGGGATGGGAACCAGATGCGACGCCTACGATGAGGCGGGGTTATGTATAAGTACCCTCAAGCGAGAGGAAAGCCAACTATGCTTTAAAAGGGACCCTCGAAGACCACATATACGCCTTTATTGCGCGTGGTGGGAATGAAGATCACGACCGCGCTGTCTAAGGATACCTACCATACACGCCTTTATTACACGTGGTGGGACGGCCCAATTTCTCGTAGTTCCCCTTAAATTGGGGAGACGCCGGGAGGCTACCGAAATTTCGGGTGAACACGAGATCGTACTTGAACTTGATTGAACTCAAAAGGACAACAGTGGACTCGGACGTGTGCTTTGATACAATAAACTCAAATTTAAATAAATCACAAGAACTTGAACTTGTACTTTGAACTCGAACTGTATAACTTCAAGTTGAACTTGAACTTGAATTTGAATTTAACATACAAGTTGACCATATAGAAGTATACTCATAACTTGATTAATGCATCAAGTGGACATGACTTGAACTTGCAAAATGAACAAGGACATGAATTGAACATTTAAACTCAAGCAAAGGCTTGAGTTGGATCACAGGGGACTCGCACAAGACTTGAACTCAAATGAACTTGGTGCAAACTTAAATAATGGAGGACTTGATTTTTTTTTACACCAGGGAACAAGTTTTAATATTTAAACGATTAACTAAGAGCTTGAATGAACCTAAGCACAATACATTAAACTTGAAATCAAGTTTGACATTGGTTTGAACATGATTGAAACAAATGAGCAATGAAGGACATCAAAATGTTAAAGGATTTTCATTTCAATTTGAATACAAATGTCAATTAGGAGATGTCATTCAAGCCCTATGCAAACAAATAAAGATGCTTGCACTTTGACATGGAACTCCTTGGACAATAGCATTCAAATGATTGTAAGTGGAAGTGGAAGTGCAAATCTATGAAACCTTCAATAGAGGTTGTGTTCTATTTATGAAAACTACGTCAGTGGAAAGAGTTGCTTGGAGGCGACAATAAGAAATATGCAACCAATATGTGTATGAAAAGGCATACCACACCTACAAGCATGAACTTGAATATATTGTACATACAATGATTCACTTACAAGCAACTACAAGAGACTTATGAATGTTTGTGAACGACTGCAAGACATATACAAGTGAATGTGATAATGTTCTACGATCGAGGTCAAAACAAATAAATGCATTCAAACCTACAAGCAATGGAGATTGAAATTGATGACAATCTTCATGTCAATCTTACAAGAAGACATAGTATTCCCTACAAACAACGAAGTCTCTTGCTAATATATAAATGAATTCAAGGGATATGCAATAAATATAATGGTATCCCTCCAATCAATACTAGCAAGCTCGCTGATATATACAACAACCTCTCCCAAACATGAAGCCAATATACAGACACAGGCTGAGGACTCGTGGTGGAATACTTTCAGCATAGGCAATATACGAGCAAATATGTTGGATTCCTTCATAAACCTTGAAAATCAAAAGTGCAATGATGTGAAATATTCACTTGCAAATGACAGTAATCTGCATGAAATACCTACCTCAATTATGTTCACACACAATCAAAAGATTACGTCTGCTTGCAAATGCACATAACAGCCACCTATGGATATGCAACCATCTTATAAGTGAATGCAGTAGTTCCCTACAAATATTGAGAGGTTACAACGAGCAATAATAGTTAATGTTGTAACACTCCTGCAATCAATCGTATTCAACCTTACAAGTAATACAATAGAAGATGATGTATGATTTGACCGCGAATAAACGTACAAGCCTCTTAAATAAATTGCATATTAACAACGACAATTGATGTATAAAGTTTGCACAAGTCATGAAGTAGAATGTGTAAGTTCCTATGATCAACAACAATTCAACTCCAGAAAGATCTGCAACACATACGAGTCCTCTAGGAATACAGGTGTGCGCACTACCTCTCATCTCTAGATAGATACATAAAGAATTCAGTAAATGCAGACATGCAGTATCCTGAAGTCAATTTCAGCCTAAAAATGAATACATCGACCTGACTACCTGGAGCAATAATAGACATACTGTGGGAGACCTGTCCCACATTTAGTGTGTTAGTTGCAGTCAAAGGGATTTGAGATGCAGTGAAAGTAACAACGTGATGCGTCTAGATGTATTCAAGTGAATGTTAATACACACCGCATCGCACCCACCTAAGTTAATGATCCATGTTTGACAAATGTGATGTTAAAGATCAATGCTTGATCTAAGTTCACAACTACAAGCAGAAAGTACACCCGCTACTCCGAATACATAAGATCTACGACAAGCATGATCTTCTGTGGGATATTGTAGTACATCCGTCAAATATTCCAAGAATACCCCCGCACATGCACCGTAATTTGTATACACATAGATACACTAAATAGGTAAATACAATCATACACCTACATGGGCCTCGACGAGCGTGTCATGGGAATACACGTGACGTCTAGGGATGCTGCGCGGGTCAAATGGTGAGTCTAAGTACAAATTTGATCCTCTTATACGGGTAGATAGGAGTTGACACGGTTCGACCATTAAATAAATATGCGGCCGCGGGGACGGTCGAGATATTTATTTTATACATTCATATTAGGCCTTCAAGGTCTTCAATAGACAAAACTAACTAATAAAGACATAAAGCATACGGAACCCAATCCTCTGTCGACAACTTGACGGAGTTGACAAGGTTCAATCAACAAAGGGAAATAACCCCTTACACCCCGGTGATGGCCGAGTTGAATAAAAATCTCAACCGAAGGGGTTAACTCAAACCATTTCAAATGCCCTCAAACTTACACAAGATTAAAATACTTTCAAATGCACCCAAAATCCAAAACTTCAAAAATATCCAAAATTCCATATATTTAAAAATTGAAATAATCCATCCAACCACTTAAAGAAAAATCTATCCACACTCAGCAACAGTTTGCCAGTGTGGATAAATCAAAATTTACTTTAGCTCAATAGAGCTAATGCCTAGTCCAAAATATCACTAGGATACATTCTCAAATAATCTTTTGCAAATAAGGACGTGGTACGTATCCTCTAACCGGTAGTTTTGCTGCAAAATGGCACCGCAGGATAAATGGTTATGCCCCGTGGTTTTGCCGCCAAATGGCACCATGAAATATCAGTTATGGCCAGAGTCAATACGCTCCTTAATGACATCAAATCCTTGAGATATGAATCAATATGATATAATCGATATGACACAAAGCCCTTTGTTAGCTAAGGTGAATTCAAATTTGTCCCCTTAGACAAACATTCAACCCAGGTTTACGAGGTACCCTTAGATGAAGCAATCCATGGATACCGACAAAGATCTTTCTGTCAGGTTAGGTCAACTACCTTCTCTAACTAAGTAGACTAGGGACCACAATGGCCCGAGACGACGGAACCATGGGATCTTGATCGGGTCCATCATCCATTCCCCCACCATTCGCTTTAAGTGCTAGATGGTGAAAATTTCTATTTTAAATATTCAACCCTTCAAACTTTCAACTTCTCATACTCATGATACTACTATATGCTAGATAACACGTATTTCATACGTATCTGATTGACGACTAGCCTTAATCGAAAGTTCTCTCTCGTTATCAAGAAGGGTAATTAACTACAGGGGATTGAGCCTATAGGAAACCAGAACACAAATCATAAAGTCCTCGTAAAATGAGGGCGAAATCCTATTATTACTAGTCTTTAGAACTAGTCCTACTAGTAGCCTTTGTAGCTCGTCCTACTTACCTAAAAATTTTATTTTTCTGATCTGGCTTTTGATAACCAGCTGCTTAATGCAGACTATTTTTTCTTCATATTTTTTTAATGTGATTATGTCATCTTTTCATGCTCTGAATGACAAAATATCATTCTAGCTCATTCCATTTATTCCTAATTGCAATAATTAAAGTAACATTCATCATAGCTATATCAATCCTGTTTTGTTTATAACTTATCCTTAAATCACTTTCTCTTCATCAATAGTCCTCTGAGAAAACACCAAGCAAGACTTACACAAGCCAAAATCATTAATTGAAGATTGCAGTATACAAAAGCAAACCCTACAAAAGCAAACCGAAAAAATAGTTAATCCAGAAGAACTGAGGTGGTTTAATATAAAATTTCATGACAAATACAAGATGGAAAAGCCATGCTTAGAGAATGACCTAACTTGATCAAGGTTAACAAAAACCCACCAGTTATGAATGATTAGGATCATTTGATTAATAAAGTGCAGAGTGCATATCACATAAATTATTATTTAAAAATCCACATATAAAGAGGTAAATAAGGTAATTGAGCTTCAATTTCATTTAGATGTAATATCTTCTCTTTACAATTAAAGTAAAAAAAAAATTGTGAATTCTAATGACTCAACAAAAAATAATGATGATAACAATAACAGCAATAACTAAAGAGGAAGAACTTGCTTGTAAAAGCAAAAAAGAACCCATCTCCAACATATAATTTGCCAAATAGAACATAAATTAAGACAGAATTCCATAAGAGAACAAGAAGAATCACCTAAACAAATATGACCGTTGCTATAAATGTGAGGATGCAAGGGCGCGGCCGGGAGGAAAATAACCTGACAACATCAAACCATAAAAAACAACCACTTTTAGTAGAATAACAAAAGAAATAAAGTAAGAAAATGGGCCAAAATCAAGTCTTTTAAATGCATCAATCACCTGCGGTGCTTCCATGGGATAGTGTTCAGGAAAATCGACCTGGAGTTGGTACGTCTCGTTCGCATAGAGTGTCCCCGCGGCTCCAACAACCTCGATGATCCAACTTCCATATCAAAGACACAAGCACCAAACATTCAAATAAAACAAACCGATCTTAAACAGAAAGAAAACACATCGAGAGGGATAGATAAAGCTAACCTCTGGAGATTATCAGTGACCTTGTGCTTGAAGCCAGAAGGAGGGTTGACCTGCCATTCGACAAGCTCCTTCTGGAGCCGGCCACTGGCGATTTTGCTTAGGACCTGCGGTAATTAAAGGCAAATATGATAAAATATGTATCAATCGAAAGGGGAAAGAGGGAGGTGAAAGAGTCAGATCAGACAGACAGAGAACAGAGAAAGGACCTTGTGAGATGTAGCGGCGGAGCTGATCATCCTTCACTGAAATAGAGCGGAGTTAAGCGCAAAAGAGAGAGAGAAATAGTTATAGCAAACCTCTCAAATGGCGAGAGCCTGCATATATCATCGCCCCCCAGTCCCGTGGTGGAGGATGGAGACGAATGCGCATGGCTTTTGCTTTGAGAGCTTTGTTTTCCACCTGGCGGCTGTTTGGTCAGAAATTTTTTAGGAAGTTAATTTTATTTCAATTTTTTAAATGTTTAAAAAATAAAATTTGAATATTTACATGCATAACATTCTAAATATTAAATTTTATATATTTAAAAAAAAAAGTTTCACGAGTCAGGTCAGACGAAAAAACATAATTAAGTTGATAATATTTTCATCATAAAAAGGTCAAAAATAGTCTCTCAACTTTTTATAATAAAGCAAAATAATTTTGATTTCATACTATTAACTTCAAAATTTATTGTTATGACAAAAAAGTTCCTTTTAAAGGAGTTGAATGATCAAATTGGAAAAAAATAATAACCAAATTGGTCTCTCAAAAGAGTTGAGGGCCCTTTTTCCCCTCATAAATAATTGAGGGATCATTTTGATAATTTCTTAATCTCTTCAAGAAAAGATAGAGATATGTGATGCACTTACTTCCATTGCTTCTTCAATAACTATGCTATGTAACTTCCACCATCTTTGTCCCTTATTGAAACCCTAATGTCGCCATCAATTTCACTTCAAATAATCTATCTCTTGTTGTGGATGACATGGGATTGTAGTGGAGGAGAGGAGTGTGTTATTTTGTTATGTTATTTAAAGAACTAAACAACGAGAAGCCGGGCAGCGACGAGTAGGTGCGCGGGCAGCGGCTCCACTGCGTGCTACTAGCAACGGCGACGGCTAGTCTGTCCCAACTCATTTTCGGGCCCAATTTTTTGCCCAAATAAACCAATTCGGATATTGTTGGGGTCATCGGTGTAATAATAGGCATTTCATTTATCTGGGTCAAAATACGGTTTAATACAATCGGGACTATTTTTTCTACGTTTTGTACTCAATTTTGACAATTTTAAAGTTAATTAGGACATTTACGCTTAAGATCAGATTATTTTAGAGTTTCAAATCGCCTATAAAATCCTTCAAAACTTGTAACACATATTTTTGGACTTCTAGAGTTTTGACGCCCGAAAATAGTGAGGCAAGTGATATATCATCAAACAATTATCTTGATTGGGTATGAATCTCGAGAAAAAATCAAGTTGAAAACTTCTAAAATTTAATTTGGGATCATCTGAACTCCAATTTTAGCAAACTTATGGTCAAAATAAACGTCTCAAAAATATGAACCCAACGACACCAAATTCAACTCAATCTGAGCCCAAATGGGTACATATCGAAGATTTCAAGCACATTTGGATATTTCAAACAAAAAATTAGATGACCAAACGATTTCCAAATGAGACATGCTTATAGTCGAATCTAGCGGCTTGATGAGACGAATCCAACGAGCCTAAGATCATCAAATTATGATAGCATTAAGACATTGAAATACTCAATAAACGATCCACAATCAAGGGAATTAACATCGGTCATTTATTCAAATCACTCCTAACTTACCCTTGATTTCCCTTCTATTTACTGGTCATGCAACACTCAAAAAATTATAAATAGATCACTCATTCCTCATTGAAGAAGACTCATGTAAGGAAGATAATGAAAAGAGAGAAACTAGAGTTCTTTTACCACCATACTCTTTGACCACCGCCAGACTTTTGCCATGCAACCGACTATCGCTAGACATCCACCCAGCCATTGACTGTCGGACTTCTACCCGGCTACCGACTAATACCAAAGTTCCACCCGACCACCAAACGTTACTCGATTTCCGTCTGATATGCACTCGTCACTAAATTTCAACCTGACATTTGATTGTTGAAATGTGATCGTCCTCAATATGACGAATCAATCATTTGTAATATATTCAAACATTAGTTGAATCATTTCAACTAAACGTAACCCCCATATATTTTTTATTTTCTAAGATTTTTCATGTAAAAAATCTTGTGTTTCTAAATTCTTTATTTGTGTGCTAGATATACATACAACGTTGAGATATTAGCACTTAATTAGAGCAAGTTGGGTACAAATAAATAATGACCCAATTTTCGGGTCGAAAATGGGTCAAAATTGAATCAATTTCGGGTTACTGGGTCAGCTGGAACCCAACCCGATTTTTTAAACTGTTCGATTTGCTGAACCTGTACTCAACCCATTTCGGGTCGAATTTGAGTCGGGTTTTCGAGTCGTGTCAAATATTGACACTCCTAATTCCTATTCAACACCTGATCTATTAGATTATATAAAACATAAAATAAAATGTTGTAAACTACAAAAAGAACATTAATAAAACATTTAGCACATTGCATAACTATGATTTTAAGCATAAATTATGTAGTTGCATAAGCTTAATCTATATTTATTAATTAATAGTAATTGAACAATTTTTATTGATATCATGTAAAATTTTGATTTTTTATTTTTCATTAACACCTACTTTATATATATATTTCCAACCAAAAACAGATTTTATTCCAAGATAAAAGTGACATACAACCAAAAGGCAAGCTCAATCAAAAAAGAAAAATTACAAGGATGAAGGAAAGCCACATAAACCTACAAAAAGCAAAATAAGCTGGAAAAGCTAAAAAATCCAAAATGTCGGACTCAGAATCACCACCCGGTTGCCAAGCTAGGAACATCCATTTGGAGGAAATAAGCATCCGTGAGAAAACCCAAATACAAAATCCACCCTTGAATACACAGAAAAATGATCCACCAAGGTTGCCAAAACAATCCATGGCCTTCCAAAAGGGAGCACAAGAAACATGTCTCATCATAGTCCAAAAACAAAATACAACAACCCTCAGCCTTGCCATCAAACCACAAAACATCCAAAAAATCACCAATCAGCCAACACGATGATAGAAAGCATTAAAAGAAACCACACAATTACTTCTTTTTAGCTTTCCGACTAAATCGCTTGCCACATCTTTGGACAATACGAGACACTTTCAAATTATACACATCATCATCTATAATGTCGACGTGAGTCCCAACATCCCCACATATCGATGAAGAAGAAACATCCAACTAGTCCTTATATATATTGCAGATCATTATCATTCAATTACAAACCAAACATATAGAACTAAAAAAATTCAATCCAATTCAGGTCCTCAAAAATAAATTTCTGATAAAAAAATTTCTCCGAATTCTGGCAGGTAAAAGCTATGGTATACAACAAATTTGGAGTATTGTGGGACTCCTGGAACATTATATAGAGGGCTAAGTACGAGGACGATAAAACCCTGTGGCCCCAAGGGCACAACAAAACTCTTGTTTTTCACTAGGATTCATTTACTTGAATTATGACAACCAAATAGGATACAAATCAGGCTTTGCTATGCACAGAGAGACAGAAGAGATGGATCAATTCCGGGCAATCCTTCTTGCAGTTCCGATCAAAAGAGCCTTCCCTATAAGGCCGGTATGAAGGCCACATACAATAGCCACGCCACCAATGGCAATCCATTTCCAGTCAATTCCATGAACTCCGCTCTTCGGGTCATCGCTCTGGCTTTTGCTCGATTCATCTCCACCGGATGCTTCGGATTCGCCTGAAAGATCTATTATGTTGACGATGGAGGGTACCTTGGTGATGATTTGCGCGGCAATGGCGTGGCGAGAAAGGGATGTTTCAGTCTTCCTCATCAGCTGGTAAGCTCTCATGCCTGACTGAAGTTTCTTAACGGCTCCCCACATTCCATGGCGAACTCCCACCTTTGCTACATCCTTTGGGATTCCCATGTCTTCATAGTGAACCAAGGTTACTTCACAGGCAGAAATCTGTCCGTCTTGCTTACGGGATTCCACTGTTCAAAATAGATGAAATGGTTATGAAGATAAGTGATCATTTGGCCAAAAAAACAAACAAAAAAATTCCTGTTAGGATATTCTAATACATTCTGTATCAAGGGCGGCTCTAATTTTGCTTTACATCTGTGAAATCACAAAATAATCCGCTCACCCTATTAAACTTTGGTTTAATAGTTTAGCTGTGTTTGTCTTCTGTCCTGCAAACATCTCCTAGAGATTGAAATTGGTGTCTCATCATGTTACACGTGGAATCAAGGACATACAACAACAACAACAACATCAAGCCTTTGTCCCACTACGTGGGGTCGGCTACATGAATACTTTTTCTTCATTATGTCATATTAAAAGTCAAATTCTCGTAGAAATCTAATAAAGAACGATCATTTCTAATATTTTCTACCCAGTCTTTTTAGGTCTACCTCTACCTTTCTTAACATAAGCAAAATCTAATACCTCCACTTTCCTGATAGGGTTCATCGGAAGGCCTCCGTTTTATGTGACCAAACCATCTAAGACGATTCTCTCTAATCTTATCTTCCCCTGGATATACTCTAACATTTTCATGTATATGCTCAATTTAGTATCCTATCTCTAAGGGTAAAGCTACTCATCCACCTGAGCATCCTTATCTCTTCAACACTTAACTTAGTATTATGCTTCTCTTTTAATGGGCAACATTCGGCACCATAAAGTATTACAGGTCTCACCACCATCTTATAAAATTTTCCCTTAAGTTTGAGGGGGGCTTTTCTATCACACAACAAGCCCGATGCATTCCTCCACTTTAACCATCCAATTTGAATTATGCTGATAATATCCCCATCTATTTTACTATCACTCTAAACAATAGATCGAAGATATCTAAAATGTGTACTCTTATTAATGACTTGATCGCCTAAAATCACAATCCCCTCAGTAGGCCTGTTACTACTAAAATTACACTCCATAGATTCAGTTTAAGATCTACTCAAGCGAAAACCTTAAGATTATAAGTTTGACCTCTATAATTCAAGTTTACCTTGAACTCCCTCTCTAGTCATCAACAAGCATCAGCAAAAAGCATACACCAAGGTACCCCGAAACCCTAAAGGACGTAAGTGATAAAATTAGAGTCATCTTGACATAAAATTTATATAGATATCAAGCGGAAAAAATGTATAGAACCATAAAATAATGTTACAAAAAAGAGACGTAGGTGAACATAGAACCATAAAATCTAGTTGATAATATTTTTATCCTTGCTGGTAGGGTGAGCTCAAGGAGAACATGTACGTATGATGAGTTACGTGCAACAGATTGCTTCGGAGGATGCATACAGGAAGAAGCTAATAAGTATGCCACATGGTTGGGCAAAACATGCAATGTATATTAAGAATATTGAAATCACACTATCATATGAACGTCTAATGGTTGATGAATGTTAGAAAATAAAATTTACTTTATCGATTCATTAAGGAAGTGCTGATGAAAATTTAAATTTAAATCCTAACATTTAATAACTGTTGCTGGCATGTGGCAAACTCTTTTAAATTTTTTAAATTCAAATCATACCATTTAATGCGACATTTTGACTGATTTATCTAAGATGTTATTAATAAGCATCGAAATTCATGAAGTATCATTTAATTGCAATAGTTAATGACAACAACAATAACATTAATCATTAATCCTTCTAACACTGTCGTTCAGCACTCAAGTTTTGAATACAACAACAACAACATCAAGCCTTTATCCCACTACGTGGGGTCGGCTACATGAATCCTTTTTCTCCATTGTGTCCTATTAAAAGCCAAATTCTCGTTCAGCACTCAAGTTTTGAATAAGAAAAATAAATGATTGTATTAGGTAGTCGACACGACAACCAACATAAATTTTGTGGAACAATCATGATATGAATCCTTTAATACATAATAACAAATGGCAAAAATAATGTCATGGACCATCTTTCTAGATATGTTTATAAATAGAATTTGATTCTCCTTTCAGAAAACCCCATGAGATATTCCAAATCACCATGGATCTCACTTTGGGATTTGTGAAATCCATAGCTTGACTGATTTGGAATTACTTAGAAGAGGAATTTCTCATAGGTTTTTTTTGTTGGTCAAAAAATAGGTGCCGAAAATAAGAAGAAACTAAATTCGATTATGCTAGCAAGGTTTCTAGTGAAACATTAAAAAATCTGTTGTTCAATAATAGAAAGACAAGGTGCGTTTTGACATGCATGGGAAAAGAAGACATACCAGCTTTTATTCGCCAACTTGAGAAATACAGCTCAACCCTCCTCGGTTTTTCATTCTTAGGCAGAGAAGGATAGGGAACGCCCTACAAATTCAGTGATATAAAAATAAGTGTAAAAAATAGAATGCAGCCTACATGATTTTTCTTGTTATAACTGAATATGAATGTTAAGACACAAATAATTAATTATTTAATCAAGCTGTATTAATACAAAAATTCAAAATTAATCAAAATATTTACAAATAGATTCACATTTATTCACGCTCAAATCAAAATGCCTAAAATGGGTGAATTATTCAGGATTAATGAATAATTATTAAAAATAAAAGGTTTTGTGTAAATCAAATATGTTTGGTAAAGACAAAATAATTATGTAATTATAAAATGTTATAAGTAACATTTATATAATTTAAATATAAAACTTATATTTATAATAATAATAATAATAAGCATTTTATTAATCAATCTCGAAAAGTTTTGATGATTGATTGGCGAAGGGAAGGAAATCTAAAAAAATATTTTGATGCAGAAAAAGATAAGTTGAAATTGTTTTTTCCTAAGATTTTGAATCATTTTTTATGTATAAAAGGAATTATGAATATTGAAAATTTATTTTAAGGCTTTGACATTTAATTTGTATAAATCTGGAATATTATTTATTAGTTTAGGACAGATGTCGTTAAGGATAAAATTAGCCAGCAAAACACTATTGTAGTAAAGACACAATAAAAATAACGATATCATGCTTTTATTCCACTATGTGAGGTAGACTATACAACAACAACAACAACAATATCAAGCCTTTATCCCACTACGTGGGGTCGGCTACATGAATCATTTTTCTCCATTGTGTCCTATTAAAAGTCAAATTCTCGTTTAAATCTAATAAAGAAAGGTCATTCCTAATATTTTCTAACTAGATCTTTTTAGGTCTACCACTACCTTTCTTAACATAAGTCAAATCTAATACCTCTATTAGAACACAATAGAGAATAAAGATTCATATAGTTGACATTAAATTTAAGAGAAAAGATTAGTCAAGCATTAGATGAGCTAGTTGAACTAAATATCTTATTTGTGATTGCATAAGATTATAAGTATTAAGCTTAAAGAGTCAATATCTAAGGATCAATTGGCAAATTAAAGGCTAAAGTTGGTGATCTCATTTCCAGGTTAAAGTTCCATTTTTCCTAAAACTAATGCATTTACTTGAGATGTTCATTTTCATGTACATTTACATTGCATAAGATAACAATGATTTATCTCTCAATGTAAATAATCTTTATGTTAATATGAATGATTTGTATATATCTTCATGCTATGTTCCAATTTCTCATCCAAAATATATACTAGTCTATGTGATTTTCTCACATACAGACGCTATAATTGTAATATAATTCATGTAGCAATTGTCATGTCATTATTTGATAATAATGCTAGACTGAGAGTGGATTGGACATTCCCATCATTATGATTGTCCATTCCCACCTTAATTCACCCTGAGTTTTTGAGCCGCAGCCTGATTGTGACAGTAATATGTGTTGATATATGTTTTTAAAAAAAAAATCTCTTTTGTAATAAGTGGGTGATATAAGAGATTGGTGTTACACGCATGCTCAAATGGCAAAATATTGTCATGTACTTGATTAGATGTCTATATTGGAATTAAATCCAAGAGATCAACATCTTTGAGGAGTTGTCATGAAGAATCTACTACAAGAGCGGATAACGGTGGATAAAGTCGAGTGCATCAACTCCAAATGAAAATTAGATAATCTATCATGTTCAGCTACGAGTTGATTATGATTCACAACAAATGCAGCTACCATTAAGGTGAGTTAAGGTATTTGGGTAGTCTCTAGCGATAACTCTTTTAGAGGTCATCATTACTAATGAAGATGGAAGCAACGCCATTGGGAGACAATTACACAACTCCGAATAAGGTTGTGGTGACTTTTATGTTAATTTGTATTAATACTCAATAAGCAAAGCCATTAATTGATAAACCTTCAAAAAAATTGATTGCTATGCACATAAGTTGAGTCAATGAACACTTGCATTAGATTAGGCCCATTGTCATTCATCATGCACCTAACTTGGCCATTGATGGTGATATCTAGAATTCATCAAGCAACTAGAGAAACCTGAAATAAGATTTACATCACCTGATAAAACATGACCTGCATATGCGGATCAAGTTATCGATCCAATTGTTGCCTCGACTGAATCTACAGAGCCCTATATTTTTGTTAAATGACTGTCAAGTTGTGGATTACACCAACATTTCCTAAATGAAACAAAGGATTCGATCAAAACAATCCTGCATTTTCTCATTACTATGTCCATTTTTAAGATTTAAACATGCCATATTTTTTATAATTTAACATGTGATAAAATGGGAATTATGATGCTTAAACAACTTAAGAACAAGTGGGAAGCTTTAAATATTTATAGAATTTATTGTTTTTTAATTGAAATTTCATGCATTTTCAATCTGTCAGATTTTTCAACATTTCTAAGGAATTTATGAAAAATATGCTATTTTCATAATTTATTAAATTTTTTACATATTCCCATTTATCTTGTTTAATTTCATAGAAGTATAGCTTTTCTACAAAACTCTTTATTTAATCAAACCAGCAGGCTAACGCAACTTTAACTAGGTGATGTATACCAATAGAATTATGACATCGTTACACTTTAAATGGTTCAAAAGTTCATTGTCACGTGCCGCAACCTATGTTGCACCGATACGGATAAGGCGATACGGATACGACACGATACGGATACGAGACACACCAATTCTTAAAAACACAGGATATGGATACGGCGCGGATACGACATTATAATATATAAATAATACATAAAAATTAATAAAGTAATCAAAGTATAATATTTGAAATGACAAAAAAAATTAAATAAAAGTAAGCATTAAATATTAAAATGTCTAGTACAACAACAAAAACAAGAAAATAAATTGCCAAGCACATGAAATTTCAACTATTCAATAGAAGGAATGATAGGATTAGCTTCTTCAGTGGTTTGTCTTTGAGTTTCTATATCATCTTCAATAAACATCATAGCTTCTAATTCAGGCTCATCAAGTGAAAGATTAGCAATTTCTAATATTCCCAT